TCTAAAACGTTTCGCCCAAAACGTTTCGCCCAAAACTTTCGCACAAAACTTTGGGGCTTCTAACAGACCCTGAACCCCTAAACCCTAAACCCCTAAACCCCTAAACTCCTAAACCCTGAATCCCTAAACCCTAAACCCTTCTAAACCCTGAACCCTCTGTATGATTGGCGCTTGGTATCCCAGGAACGGCCTCGATGTTCACAGGACTGAACGTCCGGGTTTTAGGGAGAGAGGGCGTCATCCTGGATGCAAAAAAAGGGCGATGAAGCTTGAGGGTCGTCTTCGGGTGATGATATAAATCCTGCATTACCCACAATAAGGAGTATGCCATGACGCCCATAGTTTAGGGTCCTTAAGGTAATGCAGGATTTCTATCATCACCAGTATGGGGTCTCCTTTTGTAGGCGAGGTCTCGTAGTACCCTGTTGCCCTGTTATCTCGGGGGCACCTCTAGAAGGAAAAGGGGTGCCCTCACTGTGAAGGGGGCCACTAGAGGACTTAGAAGGAGTTGATGGTCTTGTAGTTAGTAGTATTTGGGTGGGGCCAAGCTCTCTGTCGACAAGACTGAGGGGCCCACTTCCGCCCTAAACCCTAAACCGGCCTAAACCCTAAACCCTACACCCTAAACCTTGACAACACCAGTACCATTGAGAGCCCTGTCTTATCATGCGTCGCACATGTGATCTTCGCCACAAGCAAGCCTTATCCCTAAGCCCTGAAACATCCCGCTGAACCCCTTTTTGCTCTAAACCCCCAAACCCTAAACCCTAAATCCGTCCGAGTTGTGAGAGCGTAAACCCTAAACCCCAAAACCCTAAACCCCGAAACCCTAAACCCCGAAACCCTAAACCCCGAAACCCTAAACCCCGAACCCTAAACCCCAAACCCTGAAGCTTGAAGCAAACCGTCAGGAGATGCTCTCCGCTTTGCCTGGTATGGCTTTGGACTTTCCCTGGCATGCAGCTCCACCATCTTAGGCGTGAGGGTTGACCTTTTTTTTTTTTTGCGAAAGGGGTTTCTATTTTTGGTGGCGTAGGGTTAGAGGATTCAGGATTTGATTCGAAGGATTGGAGTTGAGTTCTTTTGTCCTCGGCAGTCTCTTGGGTTTGGTCTGGTTACTTGTGGAGAAGTCTTGTAGAATGACGCATGCTACAGTAATTCGAACCCCCCGGATTGTCCCCCCCTCTCCATGTTCATCCTTTATCTTAGGGTCCTTCTTTAAACTTTTTCGAAACCCCAAACCCTAAACCCAATTAATAAGAAGGGGGGTCTACCAATCAGGGGTCTGCACTGCTCCATATGCAGAGTTGCTTCGCTGCGACTTTGCAGCAAGGGCGGTGTTCGGACATGTTTTTCCCCAAAAACGCCCTGGTGGCACATGCCCCTAAACCCTAAACCCTAAACCCAAACCGAACCCTAAATCGCAAAGCCTCAAACCCTAAACCCTACCAAGCCTTCAGTGTCCGAGTGTAAGCGTCGGAACCCTCACCTTCTACGAAACCTCTGGCCCTTTAAAAAGGGACCTTTTATGGGGCTCCTGTAAAGGGTTCTATATAGGTACTAGAAGGGTGTAGGGTCTACAGGGTAGAAGGGTCCATGCCTAAAACCCCGCAATTATCGCCAGGCTTCTCCCAGTGGTGAATGCGGAACCCCTCAAGAAGGGATCATGTCTTGGGTTTGATTAGGGTTTCGGGAGCCCGAAGCCCTTTAGGGTTTAGGTCTAGGGGTGTTTGGGTTTCGGGGTTATAGGGGTTTATAGGGTTTAGGGGTTATAGGGGTTTAGGGTTTATAGGGTTTAGGGGTTTAGGGTTTAGGAAACCTCGCCGAGGTATCATGTTCTACCACAATGCTTTGCAGATCAAGGACTCCCTGAGAGAAGCCTCCGGGGCCCTCCCAAAACACCACGCGGGAAGTTTGGTGAGTGAGGTCCTTCCTCTAAGGCTCTAAGGTTTCGTGGTTTAGGGCATTGCAGCCATAAGCGCTGGCGCTTGGAGCTTGGCTGAAGGGATTCAGGGCTTAGTGCATTGCAGTCCCTGCTCAAAAAAAGGGTATTGCAGTAGTGGCGCACAAATGCTGCCCTCAGCCAGGCCTGACGCTTCGAGTGCCTGTGAGAGAGAGAGGGTATTGCAGTCCCTGCTCAACAAACGGGATCTCTAGTGTTTGGGGTTGAATCCCTAAACCCTAAACCCTAAACCCTAAACCCTAAACCCCTAAACCCTAAACCAGGGTTTAGGTTTGACAGTCTGAGGGCTTAGGTTTGGGGTTTGGGTCGCAAAAGGTCTTCGTTTCGAGCTCCCTCACTGCATGCTAGCCATTCCCCGCACTCTGAAAGCTGAAAGCCGAGATCTGGGGTTTGGTGTGGCAGCCTCCCTCTGTGGGTTTACAGAGTTTGCTCCGATACCCTAAACCCTAAACTTTATAAGCCCAGAGGTTCAAGGAAGATGTGAGAAGAGATCCCTTCCTGATCTCTAGGAGAACAGCGAGGGGGAAGAGTCTCTCTTTAGCGCCTTGGCTTGATTGCGGCGACGACGCGCATGGTGTGCTTTCTGCTGATAGCCACGACGGTGGTGCAAGATGGCCATGATCACCAGAACTCTCATACAGCTTGTCGGACGGGGCTGGGTTTCGGACTTTATCGTGCAGTGGAGTCTATGAGCAAGAACTGGTGACGACGAGTCCTAAGTCGTAAACCCTACTGTAAACCCAGGGCGGTGTTGGCCGCAGTCGTGGCCGGGTCCTGGTCGTCAGTTTAAAGTTTACAGGCGTTAGTAGAGGAGTAGTAGTGGTGCATAGTCGCTGTTGGAGCAGTCATCGTCGTCGTCGCTGTAGTGGAGTTGTGTTGGTAAGGTTGTAAGTGGTAGTGGTAGTGGCTTTCTCAAACGAGTGTTATCAGTGTCATGACATTTATTCTCATTTGTCGTCGTGGCAGCAGCAACACTAGTACCACCCTTCTCCTTGTCGGGTTACCTTGGCCATCACGGACATCGGTCGGTCCTTGGCACTTGAGATCTTTCCATTCGGCATCTGCTCGACATTGCACAATACGTTATGAGTCTCAACAGGGGTTGAGTTGAGGCATCTCCTGTGCTGTGCCCGAAAAGCAGCCCATGGTACAAACTTTGTACCATGGGCTCAAACCGGGGTTTGATGGTTCCGACACCCTTCTTCACCAGTCTCCCGTCAACACCCCGACGAAAATGTAAGGCCAAGTGACAATGCACAGGTGGAGACTCGGACTTCCGCAAACTCTCCATCACCCTGATCGTCACGTGGTTCCCTTTCCCGCTGCTTGGTGACAAGCGACACTAGGTTCGGGTTTCGAACTTGTGCGCACTGCCGATCCTTGAGCTATAGACCATGCTAGGAGAGTGATGAAATTCTCCGATCTGCAGGCCGGCACGGCATTCTGGTAGTAGGATCCCTCTACGTCTTCACCTCGACTCCCACAAGCTTGCAGCTTCGAAGCTCCCATCTACGCAAAGACATCAAATCGCTCCATGAATATGGATTGAAGCCCTTCTCACGATTTGACGTTTTTGTCAATTGAGAAACTTGGTTTTTAAGCATTTAAACTTCAAATTTTGATTTCAATGTAAACCCTAAACCCTAAACGAAACTTGGTCCGGCAGTAGCCAAGCAGAGCTCAAGTTCGGGATAGAGCGTTTGACGAGCTTTCCACATGAGTCATTAGGGTTGGGGTTTGGGGTTTATCGCTTCTTGTGGCTTTAGGGTTCAGGGTTTAGGGTTTACAGGGCTGGGTGATTGCACAAGTCCTGATGCAACAGTGGTCCTATCGTTTCACAATCTCGACCGAAGCCCCGACTGCTTGCCCGACGCCGGAGCAAGCGCCTCGACGAAGCCTAATTCACCTTCAACCCGCCTGGTCCGGAAATTCCACGTGCGTGCCCAAAAAAATCCGGGATTTCCCCGAGCCAAAAACCCTCGCAACCCCAACTCCCCGAGCCTGAAAACCCGGCATTGCTTTTCCGAGGCCCTAACCTCCGACTCCTCCTACCTTTTCAAGGACTTATATAAAGAATTCATAATAAGGAACCCTACAAAGGTAGGTTCTTTAGGGTCCAGGTAAAGCCTAAACCTCGAACCCTTTCGGGTTTAGGGTTTAGGCCTTAAGCTCTCTATGTCAAGGCTGTGGTTCAGCTTGAGTGTGGAGGGCTTCGGACTCATCACGGACGGCTTCATCATTGAGACCCTGGTCCGCAACCCTTGGGCAAATTCAAGCTACCCGGTACGGTAAGGATTTTCTTGCTGGACCTGCTAGATATTGCCAGCGTGTAAGTTTCCCTTATACGGAGATCCAGCTAGGTACTAGATATTCTTTATCATGGGAACTTGGGTTAAGTTGTTTACCCGAACACCTCCTGAACCACTGGTATAACCCTGAAAAAACACCCAAGGATGCCTTTGTTAGACCCTTTTGGAAACCTCAGAGCGACCGTTGCGAAAGTAGAACCTATTGCAGATATGCAGAACCCTAAACCCTAAGCCCTGAACCATACGACCCTTTGGCAACCAGGACCCGCTCTTGCGTGTTGTGGGACTTTTGCTGAGACCCACACGGTTTAGGGTTTAAGGGTTTAGGGTGTTTTTGTTCTATCAGGGTTGCATGAAGTTGTGTTAACGAGGGTTCGGTCTTATAAGGGTCCTGTAAGGGCGCTGTGACAGGGACCCATAGCTCTTTGCGAGCGTCTCGAGAGCCGCGGACAGCACGGGCCAGTAGAGGATCTGAGTAGTTTGTTTCGTATGCGGAAATTATCAAGGCCCCTTAACCCCCATTCTGATGCTGTAAGGCCAGTATGTCAGTGGAAGCTGCACATGCCCTGACCGGGAGCAGTTCGTGATTGAGTACAGCTCCTGTGGGCTCAAGTAGAAAGCTCGACGAGGATTTCCCGCGGAGTGCAATCTTCCAAGGCCATGTCGAAGCCTGTAAAGCTTGAGGAGGACTTGGTGAATGCTTGCTTTTTGTGTTTCGGGTTGCCTAACTTCAGACCCTAAACCCTAAACCCTAAACCGCTAGGGAAAAAAACCCTAAACCGCTAAGACGGGCCAAGAGGAGTCGGTGGCCACTACCTCGCCAGAGTCGGCTGCAGAATTCGAGCACACAGCCACCACCTATGTGAGCAGCTTGGAGCACACGGGCGACGGACGCAGCTTGAAGAAAGCCAATTCCTACCTTTCCCAGGGCACGACGCTCACTGCCGGCATGAGCCACCTGAGCCACGAGGGTGTCAGTGTGGTCTCAGAGTCGCACGCATCAGTTCCTGACCTTAATGCCACTTGGTCAGTGTTTTAACTTTTTGCGGTTCCGTCTTCCTAAGCTACTTTAAAACTTGAAACGGAGCCCATCAGAATGATCCTTTTCACCTTCCGACTTGTAACAGCGACTGAGGCCATCAAGCCCGATATTGAGAACGCTGCTGGGGTGGAGCCCTGTGGCGAAGTGATCAGTATCTGGACGTCTCGCACCATCGGGATTGTGATAAATGGCTTCATTCTGGCCTTCCTGAGCGCCACATGCACGGGGGTTACATACGGTTTCTTCCTTGGCTATATGGGCTTGGACTCCTACGTGATGTCCTCTATTACAGCACTTATGAAGCTTCCAGACGTGTTGCTTCTCCCGTATGGCGTGATATCCGACTGTTTCCCCATCTGCGGCTAGGCGGCAATTGGGAAATGCGTGTGACAGCTGGATCCACCAGTTGTGGTTGCCCCACTTGCTCACCCCTGGTCGTCCGGCAGGGCACCCACCTCACTATTCCCGTGCTCTCCTCTCATGCAGCAAGTCAATGTGGATCAACATCTGCCCACTTCCCAGGAACTCCGTGTTTTCTCTGCTATAGACGTGGCCTTGGGCTTAGGTTCCCCGAAGAATCGAAGTTTGTCAAGTGGAGAGCTTTTTTGGGCCCCCGTCTGACGACCAGCTAGCCCTAAATCAGTCTCCTAAACCCTAAACCCTAGAAGCCCCGAGCCTTCAACCCCTAAACCCTAAACCTTACAAGCCCTAAAAGCCCTAAGCAAGAAGGGCATAGCCCTAAACCCTGTCTCACCCTAAGCCCCAGGCCCTGAGCTCCGAAATCTGAAGGTCCTGACCACCCCAGCAAAGGCCGAGACTCCTCTGAGCCGTACCCATAGGCCCCTAGGCAGTTCCTTTTTATGGTTTACCTAGAGTCTCCATTGTAGTTCCTTTTTGGGGTTACCTTGAGGATCCTTAATATAAAGCCCTCAAAGGACTCCTATTTTAAGGCTCTTTGGGCCCAAAGACCCTATTATATAAGGTTTTTCGGCTATTTTGATGCCAAGGGAAATAGTTCCTTTTTCATGGTTTATATTTAGAATCCTATAAGGTAACCCCAACAAAGGAACTACTTGGGGGCCTATGGGTAATTCCTAAGATCCTTGACAACACTTGGACCTTACAGACCTAAACCCTAAAGCCCTGAAGCCCTAAACTCGAAACCCTAAAGCCCTGAGGCCAGAAACCCTAAACCCTAAACCCAACCTAAGACCCCTCCCTAAACCCAAAACCCTCAACCTAAAGCCCCAAAGCCCGCGAAGCCTTCACCCACCCTAAACCCTAAACCCAAAACCCAAAACCCTAAACCTAAACCCAAAACCCTAAGCCCTCAAACCCGAAACCCGAAACCCTAAACCTTATCCCCCCTAATCCTAGCTTCCAAGGTAACCCTAAACCCCAAACCCTAAACCCTAAACCCTATTCCCCCCCCCCCCCTAACAAGCGGAAGTCCTCCAACCTAAAGCCCTAAAGCCCTAAACCGATCCAGGTGGCAAGAACCGGAAGTCCTGGCTGCTTGTCTCATGGACCATCTCGGCCGCTGCCCTCCTCGCCATGAGTCTGAAGCCCTGCCCTTCTTGCTTAGGATTTTTTTTGAAGGGCTTTTCGGGCGTTTTAGGGCTTAGGGCGGTTAGGGCCTTTAAGGGTTTAGGGTTTAGGGCTTAGGGCTTTGAGGGCTTTGAGGGTTTCGGGGTTTAGGGCTTTGGGGTTTAGGGCTTCTAGGGTTTAGGGTTGAGGGCTTGTTCAGGGTTTGGGGCTTTTTTTTTCTGATTTTAAAGATTCGGGCAACTCATTCAGAGTTTAGGGTATAAAGAGGACATTTTGGATTTTAGGGATGTGGGTTTAGGGTGTAATGGTTAGGGTTCAGGCCAGGAGATGGTATTGATTTAAGAGGTTAGGGTTTAGGGTTTAGGGGTTAGTAGATACTATGGTTTACAATGTCGGCTTTTCATCATGATAGGAAAGTCTGAAGAGGTTGGTATATACAAGGCACGTTTCTACGGACATATACTGGTTTAGTGGTGCATATATATATATATATATATTATGTGAGTGTGTGTACATAAGAGGCTTTGCTCGAGTTTTTAGCGTACTTTAGTTCAGTTGATGATTTGAGACAAGAATTGTCATAGACTGTCAGTTTCGGTCTCCAACAGCCCAGGAAACCGCAGCCTCCCCCGATGTACTGCCAATACGAGAACGGCGAGTACAACTGGGACGTGCCTCCATGCAACCCTCAGATTCAGGACGAGAAGATCCTGAGATCAAGCTTAGGGTCTGAGGGTTTAGGAAAAAAAAAGGGCTTGGATATAGGATTCCGGGGATAAGCAGCCGGATAAGTAGCAGATGCGAAGCTTTCTTGTTTTCTGTGGCAACATCGACGAATATCAAGCCTTGGGGACGTGCGACCTATCAATAAAGCTTTTTTTTTGCGACCCTCGAGAAAAATCGCAAAGGCCCTAAAGCCCAAACCCTGTAGACCCTAAACTGTCAGAGACAAGAGCCTAGGAATTGGCACGCCTAAACCCCCAAGAAGCCCTAGACCCTAGAGGCCCTGAAGCTCTCTCACTGTCCCAGGAATTGGTACATCTTCCCAATGTTCATCCTGACGGCAGGTCTTCAGCTGGGCAGTGTGAATGGGCAGGCCCTCCTCTTGGCCGCCTGGATGGTCCCACTGTATGTCGGTGTTTGGGGTTCAGGGTTCAGGGTTTAGGGCTTCGGGTTTCGTTGGATTGTTTGAAAGACAGGTTCGGTACGGATTCCGCAGGCTTAGAGTTTCATCAGCTGGGCCTGAATAGAATAAGCATGGCGTTTCAGAGTGTCGCCTTCAGTGTTCAGCCCCTTTTTGTCACAGGGGTTCTAATCTGGACACACACGATTCTTGGGTTTGGGACTTAAGACAGGAAGGGTGTTAGGAGCTTCAGATCTAGTAATGTCAGGTTCAGGAGTATGTGTTGGATACTGCCCCCACTCAGTAACAACAGTTGAAAAGCATATTTCATCTAGACATATAAGGCCTCTTATCGTAGCCCTATTCAAGACTGCTATACCCTATATCCTAAACCCTACTAGTAGCCCCCATTAAACACCTGGTGCTGCACGGGGGGCGATACCCGAAGTATAGGCTTTAGAGGAGGGAGGGGTCTAGATAAGATAGTATAGGGACTTACATAATTGCCAGCACGATTTTGGTGGTTCCTTATTTATAATCATTGTAAGTGTGTTATACCTCAACACCTTTTTCTAATTATCAAGGCCCTTGTATTTTATGAGTCTTTAAGGCCTCTGTTGCAATGAGCCTCCTCCGGCCTTGGGTTTAGGGATCTAGGGCTTATAAGGGATTTAGGGATTCAGGCTTTAGGGTTCAGGGGTTTAGGGTTCAGGGGTTTAGGGTCTAGGGAGCTGGAGATCCCCTCGACCTCAAAAAACGGGATATGTTGGATACTGGGTAATATTCATAATATGGATATATAAGGCCATTAAGGCCTGGAATAGTAGCCCGAATATAGACTGTTATTGTATGGGGGCAGTACCCAATGGATATGCAAGGAGTACTCCCAGCGCGAGCCACTTGAGCGTCGCGGGCATATCAAGGCCAACATGGCCATGGTTTGCAGGGCCCTCAGGGGGCACTTTCTTGGTTTCCTAGAGATCCGAAAAGGCGAATCTAAGGCAAAGCAGAAGGCCGCAATGGATTCTTGCTTATTCTAGGAGTAACTTTGGTATATCCCTTGAAAGCCTATTATAGACTTAAAACTCTAAAAAGCATGAGCCCTAGACCCTATAGAACCCTAAGCCAAGCCTACTATAGACTTGAAACTCTAAAAAACATGAGCCCTAGACCCTATAGAACCCTAAACCCTGAACTCCTGACTCCCAGACTCTCCCTCTGAACCCAAACGCTGCTTGTGCTCCCACTAATGTAGGGGCCTTAATAATTAGAATAGGGTTTTGGGGCATATTCTACTATAATTACAATAAGGAACCCCCAAAACCCTACTCTAATTGAGGCCCCCTACATTAAGGCACCGCCGGTGGCTTGGCTTCCTCGTTGGTCATTGGCATCTGCATGAACAGCAAGGCCTGAAGGGTTTAGGGTTTAGGTTTTTAGGGTTTAGGGTTTAGGTTTTTAGTCGAGTCCCTTGTGAACAAAAAAGGGTTTAGGTTTTTAGGGTTTAGGGTTTAGGGTTTGCGGTTCGGCATATGCATAGCCCCAGGCATACAAGGGTGCATTTATTTGGGTCCTTATCACAGCTACTATGATTTATTAGGGTTCTTATACAGTTACTAGTTGCTAGTATGTGGTAGGGCTCTTATTACAGTTGCTATTATTTTTTAGGAGTCTGTGTATAGTAACCAGTTCGTATATATTAGGGCCCTCATTATAGCTACTATTATTTATCAGGCTTCTTGTTATGCTTGCTAGTAATTGTTACGGTTCTTATTATCGTTACTGTAACACACCGAAAAGTTTTTTGGAATTATCAGAAACCTTATATTAATCCTACCAAGGCCTACTTGGGCACCTTTGACTGGGGCTTGTCCTTCAGTGGCCTGATGACGGTTTGCTTGGTCTTAGCCATCTGCATGATGCCATTGACGGCATCTTGGATTTTAGAGGCTTTGACATGTAGGGTTTAGGGTGAACTTTTGAAATGTGTAGCTGTTTTGGGCGATGCACCCCTAAACCCTAAACCCCTAAACCCTAAACTCCAAGCCGCTAAGGTATTTTGCGTCTACGAGCCACCGAGATCTTCGCAACGCCTTTCGAGCCGCGCCCATATCAAGGGCTCTTGGGGCCTGGTCCAGAAGCTTGGTCTGGCCTTTTAGGGGTTTGGGGATTTGGGGGTTGAGGGCTTAGGGTTTAAGAGTTCAGGGTTTAGGGGTTTAGGGTTTAGGGTTTAGAGGTTTTAGGGTTTAGGGTTTAGGGGTTTAGAGGTTTAGGGTTTAGGATTTAGGGTTTAGGGGTTTAGGGTTTCGTTACGTGGAGTACCTATCCTAGGGGGTGGAGTGATTGTGTGCTGACGGTTTCGGGCGTCGGCTGAAGAACGGCAGAAGGGGCAGTGCTGGCAGCCATCAAGTCCGGTTTCAAAAGGGTTTTAGGGTTTAGGGTTGTCCCGAGATGGGGTTTTGAGTTTAGGGGCGGTTTAGGGTTCAGGGGAAAAGTGTTTTCGGGTTTAGGGAGAAGCGTGGTCGAGACAGTGGACCTGGTCGGAATTATTGCCGATAGTATCTCCTTATCGCGCCTAGTCCAATGACACGATCATGTAGCCCGAAACCTTGTTCTGAATATTAAGGCCCATAGATTACCCCTCTTCTTTTGATAATATAAGCCGAAGGTGACTATCAACACATCTTAAACCCATCAGTCTGGGTCATCGCTTCGATTTGGGGAGTTGGCTTCCTCCTAATACTGACTAATGAGACGAGGGCGCCCATACTTTTGGGGGGTTGCCGGTGAACTCAGGAAGAAAGCTCTCTCGAGCCTTCTGTTCTTCGCCTTCTTCGTCCAGTTTCTCGGTCCTTGATAAGGGACTTAGCGTATGTGACCATGCTAGGGATCTACAGTCTACAGTGAACACTTCACTTTCCATTTAGTTCACGATACCACAACGGGGATACTTCATCGATGCAGCGCTGTTTGACATTTTTGAATTAGACTGGGTTCCTTAAACCCTAAACCCTAAACCCTAAACCCAAAAACCCCAGGTTTCTGGTCTCCATGACGACGACCGCCGGGCCCATGGTCCGGAGTCAGTGGGCCCATGTCAAAGTTCTCCAGCAGCAGATGTTCGGCATGCTTGGCATGGGCGTCATGATGCTAGGTCCCTGAGTGGTACCCTTTTGCCCTTTTTTATTTTAGGGACCCCTTGTTCAAACCGAGTAGTAGGAAAAAGGGTACCCTTGGAACCAAGGATGGCGGCCACCTATGTCTCTAGGTTCCTGAGTAGTACCCTTTTGCCCTTTTTAGTTTAGGGTCCCCTTGTTAAAATCGAAGATTAAGACAAAAGGGTACCCTTATTATTAAGGGGTTACTGGGGAACCTAGGTCTACAAGGTTACTGGGGAACCTAGGTCTACAAGGTTACTGGGGAACCTAGGTCTACAAGACATCCTTTCTCCAGATGAGCTGGAGGAAGACGATCTTCATCGCGATCGTTTCAGTGAATGTGCTCGATGCAGTCCCACAGTTTCTGGCTGCGTTCGATGTGGTGCGGAATCAATACTTCTACCTTGGCGAAGACGTTGTCAGCTCCATTCCGAACGCCATGTTGCAGCTGGTCTCCAACCTGATGATTATCGAGCTTACCGAGCATGGCCGCGAAGGTCTTTGCTACGGCCTGATTGGCACGCTGCAGCAATCCGCTTTGCCCTTCGCCACTGTCATCAGCAACCAGGTCTATGGGCTTTTCGACCCGAAGCTCTCGAGCCTGGAGAACTACATCTTGGACACCCCCCAGTTCCGATCGACGGTGGCTTGGTCCTATGTGCTTACCTACAGCACTTCGTTCCTTGCCCTGGCTCTGCGCCTGGGCTGTACTTGAAACGATTGTCCTATACTGAAGGTCAGCATAGTCCACTCTTACGAAGGAGCAAAAAGCACGCCCTCGACCTTCAACCCTTTACCCCAAACCCTCATCCCTAAACCCTAAACCTTCATGGAACCAGAACCCCAAGGCTGCCGATGATTCCATGGCAGAAGGCGGAGGCCCACAGGCGGAAGCGGGAGTGGAGCTCCAACTCTGCCCTGGGGGCTCCTTGGCTCTTAATTAGGGGGTTTTGGGGGCTTTAAGGGTCTATAGGGGCTTTAGGGGCTTTAGGGGTTTTAGGGTTTTTGGGCTTAGGTTTGAGGGTTTTAGGGGTTTTAGGGGGGTTTAGGGGGTTTTAGGGGTTTTAGGGTTTAGTGGTTAAGGTTTAGGGTTTATGGTTTAAGGTTTTAGGGGCTGGGACTTAGGGTTTGGGGTTTAGGGTTTAGGTTTTTTTTTCCGGGCGAGTTCAAGCCTGTGGGAAAGGGTTTAGGGTTTACGGTTTGGGGTTTAGGGTTTGGGGTTTAGGGTTTCGATGTGCTGCGAGGGATTTGGCCGGGCGAGCTCAGTTCAAGCCTGTGGAAAAGGGGGTTTAACTGAAATCGTAAATCGTGTACTGGCCCTTTGAGGGCTTTAGGGCGGCGGGTTTTATGGCTCAAGGCCTTGAGTTTCCTTCCGGATCTTCGGGCTCAGGCTGTAGAGAGGCTCCGTGGGACAACTTGTAGTGGCAGCAGTCTAGGAGGATGGCACTTGTAAGAGCAATATCGGTGATGGTGGTGCTATGTGATAATGATCATGCTACCAGTTTATATCCAAGCACACTTTACGTTTGGCTTTTGAAAGGCTGAGGTAGCAGTATTTTTGGCAGACTTTTTTCTGGCTTTGTGATTTGAATTCCTGCGGCCTTCATGGCTCGCAGTGTTCTGATGGGGTCGGTAGCGCAACATGACCAGCAGGCAGCTTTGTTGTTCAGAGTTCTAGGTTTAGGCACGTCGGCAAGATCGCTAAAAACCAGAGTCCCTTTTTCTTTTCTAGAAGTCCTAAAGCCTACTTGGAGGTTCATGGGTAGTCATAAGTGGGGTTATAAGTCCCCTAATATGTATAGTTACCCTACTTATAACCCCATTTATAACTACCCATGAACCTCCCTGTAGATCCACTAGAGCTCTGAGGGGTCGGCTACGTTTGACAGAGAGTATACGGTCCGAGGTCTTCGTGCTTCTGATCCCGGCGGTGTGTTTGGTCTATGGAGTCATTGTCTCTTAGACAGCCCACGGGAGAGCTTTACACTTTTTGGCCTTGCATAAGTTGGAGTTCGTTTGGGGTTTAAGGTGTAGGTTTTCGGTTTCGAATTTTCTTTGGGCCTTAAACCCTAAACCCTAAACGGGGTTTAAGGTGTAGGTTTTCGGTTTTGAAGTCTTGTTGGGCCCTGTTCTTGAAGAAGAGAGGTCTTGATGCTCACCAGCCAACCCGAGACAGCTTGCCTCAAGTGGGTGGGTGGCATGGGGTGCGAGCAAAGCTGAGCAGGGATGCAACATCCTCGAGTTTTCTGAAAAAAAGGTTCACAGGACGTCTGATCCAAAACGGGCTCCCTTGATACCATATTTCAGGCCAGGGGAACTAGCAGATGCTACTCACATCTTGATGCCGAGCCTGGAAGAGCCCCGGGGCCCTGATGTGAATTCAGTTCACGCAAAGTAGTCCTTGGTTTCGTGCGGGCCTGGACCTGTGTCTGGCGTCTTGAGACCAGCTGGAATTCCGACGAGCAGGAAGTTAAATGAAATCTCCAAAGATCAAAGCGGTTCCTGGCGGTCTCAGTTGGTGCAGTTTTGCCGAGGCTTACACGAGTTCAGTGCTCGTGTTAGGAAGTGCCTGGGAGTTTTGAGACATGCTGATACTGCTGATGGAATGTTCAAGCTTCAGGTTTAAGAGTCAGGGGGTTTGGGACTATAGGGTACCCAGGCGACTTCGCATAGAACGCTTCCGAGGGTAGTGAGCACAAAGTTCCTTCCCCTCCATCTTTGATGGAAGAACCCTGAAGGCTGCAAAGTCCAGGGTGGTGCATGGTGCCAATCCTTGAGCTCATGGTTGCGCAACAGATGCACCATAGACTCAAAGGCTCGGCACACCAAATCCGGGGAATGTTGCAGAGCACTTCGTCGTGCGTCTGATCGCCCAGAGGCTTCTTTGAAGACTCGTCGAGTAACCGCCTAGTCCGCGCTGCAACACGCCCTGGAGGGCTTTAGATTCCGCGCAGCGGCAGCTTCGGGGGCAAGCAGCGACTGCGTTCTTCAATTCCCCCATACTCTATGCACCCATCGCCGGTTTAGATCGTGTTACCAGCAGTACGACTGCTGCCACCCAAGCCGAGCACGTGCCCAGCTACCTTTCGATGCACGTTGCTCTGCATGTCCTGGCTTGCGGAAACGAAGAGCAGGCATCCCAACTAGGCGGAGTGTTAGGATCCTTTGGGGTGTAGGGCTTAGGGAAAATGTATGGAAGTAAATTTATGTAATGCAATGTCATGCATTGCACTGTAATGCAATGCAATGAAATGAAATGTAATGTATGTACGTATGTATGCATGTATCACGCGTAATTGAGCCGCGAACAATCCTCTGAATGCCGGCAGGAGCAAAAATGCATGTATGTATGTATGTATGTATGTACGTATGTATGTATGTATGTATGTATGTGTATATATATTATTGTATACATATTTGTACATATATGTATGTGTATGTGTATGTGTATGTGTATGTGTATGTGTATGTGTATGTGTATGTGTATGTGTATGTACATGTGTATGTGTATGTGTATGTGTATGAATGTGTATGAATGTATGAATGAATGTATGTATGAATGTATGTATGAATGTATGTATGCATGTATGTATGTATGTATGTATGTATGTGTGTGTATGCATGCATGCATGCATGTGGTGTGTGTTTATGTGTGTATATATATATATGAATATGTTGCTTTGTAGGAAAGGCTACTCCACAGTCAATCCCTATCGCATGTTTGCCTGACACAGTGGCCTAGGATACATTACACAATGCAGGATGTAGCCTATACCGTAGCACCATGTCCTACATTATCAGCTTGGCTTATTTATGCGTCTTGTTTCTGTCCAGAACACCAAACCTGAAATCCGAATGCTTAAACCCTGCAAGCCCTGATCCCTGAGCCGAGATCCAGGGAGGGTGGCATGGGCCCTGGCGTAACCACAGGTCTCCGACACACGAGGAGCTGACATCCTAGAATAGTCTGGGTCTAGGGTTTAGGTCATACCACTAGTGTTCCGTTTGTTAAAAGCCGACGATGCTCCTATGCTAAAATACTACAGTGAAAGCGCCATAACAACCGTCTTTGTGCCAGAAGGCTCTGTGCAACACCATAAACAACCCCTCCGTGCAAAAACCCTACGCGTGTGAAACCGTACTCTCAGGATTTTGATTCCCCTTATAAACCTTGATCCCTCATAAAGCTCTAAAGTCAAAATCATTTTCCTAACTGTGAAAGCCGTTGTCAGGATGGCATCAATCCTAAACTTTCAGCCCTAAACCCGAAGAAAACTTGGGCTACCCTGCATACTAAGTCAGTACTAAGTTCAGCTAGAAACAGGTGGACCCTAAACCCTAGCACCCCCCAGGATGGGCTGGGTGGTGCTGAATATCATTTCAAAGTTCCTCTTCATCATCTGGCTGCAGCGAATGAAGATGCTCGGCTTTCGGGTTTTTGGGGCCTCGGGCTTACAGTTAACCCTAAACCCGAAACCCTGAAACCCTAAACCCTAAAACCCTAAACCTAAATCCTAAAACCCTAAACCCTAATCCTAATTTCATAGGCGCTTGCCAGTCGGCCATGGGCAGCGACCCCTTCACCAAGGGGCGCCATGGCTTTCGCACATACAGTATGTCTAAACAGCAGATCTACTGTGCCATCAAGCTATGTGCCACCAAGCATTGGGACATAGTCAGTACTGACATGTATAGCTAAACCCCAATTCCGTCGACGAGGACCCCGAATCGGTCGTTTTTCAAGGGTTCAGGGGCCGAATTTCAATGATCTCGAACCTGATCTTTATGATTTCTCGCTGACTTCCATGATTTAGGGACGGGTTTGCCGCGCCGGTTGGAACGTGGTCTCTAGGATTTAGGCCCAGACCCGAGAAATCATTGAGCTTTCTAGTGGTCTCTAGAATTTAGGACAAAGTCTATATAATTAAGGGGTCGGTATATGGTTTAGGGTCCATTTTCTATTGTATAGCACCAGGGACCGCCAAAGAGATCTCTGTGATTTCGGCTTTCTATGATTTAGCACCAGGGGCCGCTAAATCATGGAGACCTCTATGATTTAGGGACGACGTCGATAACTAATTTTGAACCTGACCCCCCTGCCAGCTTGAATAGCCTCTCCGGAGTGTTCGATTTGTGAGAGTCCGGGCCGTACATGCTCCTACACCCCAGACCCTAAGCGCTCAACTCCGACCCCCGCCATAAATTTCTCCGAAATCCCGTTCTGCTCAAGATGGCCTCGGCTGCTCCTAAACCCCCAAAGCTTAAACCCTGAACCCCCACATCCGTAAACTCTAAACCATCCTAAACCCTTCAGCCCTAAACCCCTACACCGCAAGCCCTAAGCCCTTAAACCCTAAAGCCTGAACCCTTAAACCCTTCAGCCCTAAACCCTTAAAACCTAAGCCCTAAACCCTTAAACCCTAAGCCCTTAAAACCTAAGCCCTAAACCCTTAAACCCTTCAGCCCTAAACCCTTAAAACCTAAGCCCTAAACCCTAAACCCCTAAACCCTAAACCCTAGACCCTAAACCCCTTGAAGAACCCCTTAAGCCTTAAACCCTAAGCCCTTAAGCCCTAAGCCCTAAACCCCTAAACCCTAAACCCTAGACACTAAACCCCTTGAAGAACCCCTTAAGCCCTTAAACCCTAAGCCCTTAAACCCTAAGCCCTAAGCCTCTAAACCCTAAAGCCACAACCCTAGACCCTAAACCCATTGAAGAACCCCTTAAAAGCCCTAAACCCTTTCACTCCTAAACCCTAAACCCTAAACCCCTAAACCCTTAAACCCTAAACCCTAAAACCCCTAAGCCCGAAAGCCTAAACCCTAAATGATTCACTAAACCCTAAAAACCCTGAAAACCCCCAAACCCCTAAACCACCCTGTAACCCCTAAACCTTAAAGCCTAAACCCCTAAAGCCCAAACC